ATCCAGAATGTGAGGTCTTAGCTTATATACTGTGTGAAATATAAAAACTCTTTAGAACTGCCCCCTCTGCACACTTTTATTACAGTCAAAGATATCATCTGCACAACAGTGAATAAGACTACTCTTTAAGGGACACATCATGAAAGTTGTCTGAGGGACTGGGCAAGGAATCAGAGGTGGACAGAGAAATTGGACACGAGACAGCACTCCACTCACCACCTACAGCTACCGCTGCTGAAGGATGAGGGAACCAAGATGAAACTTCTGATCATACTGTTCACTCAGTTCCATGACACCACTCCTCTATCATACCTTCCTTTCAGCAGCTTCCCCCCAGCCATATGCTTTTTCCAACTTGAGTCATGGTCCTCCACCTCCTGTAGCCCTACAGTCCAGTTACCAAATCCTGCTCAATCCCTTCACAAATTAAATTTCCCAGATCTTCACATGAAAAGCAGAATCTGTCTACCTCTCAAGAGGCCTATGATATATACACTTTCATACTGCTGCTTATGTTCAAATTAAAAACCCCATCTTACTTATCTGTGCTTTTTCCACAGTGCCCAGCATAGAGTCTGACTTAACCCACATTTATTCCATTGGTTTCCCCAAGCCAGGAGTGACTGATTCATCCTTTAAGCTCTCACCATATTCTGTACTTTGTACCTTTCTTATCTACTCTTGACTCTATTTTGTATTCTACTTATTCGTGTGTGCTTTGTTTCTCTCTATTAAATTCTAAATTTCCCTGATACAGTGGAAAGGGCGCTGGTCTTGAAGAAGAATCCTTGGTTATACAGTGGAAAGGGCGCTGGTCTTGAAGAAGAATCCTCGGTTTGGACAATCGCTGGCTGTGCGAGGAATCATTTAAAGAAATCATTCTACTACTCTAGTAGCACATTTGTAAAATGACAATAATATTCTCACTTCCTACTTCACAAGGTTAGGTATAGGGGTTAATTGTGATTTCTTTGGCCTAAGAAATTTGTGGATAAGGAGATTCCCATCCACTAATACAGGTTGGCACCTTTATTAGAATTGCCCAACGTTCTGAGAAGTTAAGTGATTATTTGCCTAGGGTCACAGAGCCTGGATGTGTCAGAGTTGGGATTTGAATTTAGGTCTTTCTAGCCACAAAGTCAGTGCTCTAGTCTCTACAGCCTACACCACAAAGAGTATGGGTTCCTAACCTTTTTAGTATCATGGATTCCTTTGGCTGTCACCTGAAATCCTTCTCAGAAATGCTTTTAAATGAATACAACAAAATACATAGGATTACAAAGGAAACTAAATATACTGAAGCAAAACTGCATTTTTTTCCCCATCAAGTTGATAGACCCCATATTAAAAGGCCCTGACTGTGAGGAAAGTGCCATATAAAAGTGAAATATTATTCATCTTTGTTTTTGTTTTTCCCTCAGCACCAGCTACAAAGCAGGAGCTAAAAAGAAAAATGTTGAATTGAATCAAGTTGAAGACCCAAAGATATGAATCACTAATGATGGGTTCTCAGGCACCATTTTAGGCTGTGGAGAATATTCTGAGTGAAATACCGAGTTGAGTATCTTCTGAAATCATTTCACAGAGGCGACCACCAACTCCGCCTACTCAAGGAAGCCAGATCTAATGAGGGGCCACAGTGGGTAGAGGCAAAAGGATAAAAAGAACAGAGGCAAAAAGGGAAAAAAAAGATACAAAAACATAATCGCAGATATATTGAGACCACAGGGGATGTGACTTGGTGGTGGGCTGAGGAGGGGGAATGGAAACACAGACTCAATTTAAGAGAAGTAGGGAAACAGCTTCAAGGGGAGTAGGAAGGTTCCCCCATGCTTCAGCCTCCTTTTGGGGGATAGGGGTTCCCGAAAACCCCAGCAGAGACGAAGAGAGAGAAAGATCTGGCTGGGGAGTTAGTTGAGATTTCCAATTGAGAGGGGGCTGCTCTCAACACCCCTACTGACTCATGCTCTCTCCTCCAACCTTCTCCAAAAACAAATCTATCCTTTGGTATTAGGAAAAGGTAAGAAAAGAATATGACTCATGATGGGGGAAAGATCTCCAACAACCCAGTAGGGGAAGGAATTCCAGGCACAGAGAACAGCCAGTGAAAAAAGCTCTGAGTCAGGAAATGGAATATCTTGTTCCAGGAACAGCAAAGAGGCCATGTCACTGAACTGAGAAGTAAGTGGAGAGAGTAAGGTGTAAGAAGAATGAAAAAGCAGGAAGGGATTACATTAAAAAGCGCTTTAAAAGCCAAGCAGAGGATTTTATATTTGATCCTGGAGGTAATAGAGAGCCAGTGGAGTTTACTGAATGGAGGGGGAAGAGAAGTGATTGTCAGATCCCACTTTAGGAAGATCAATTTGACTGCTGAGTGGAGAATGGACTATACACAAGAGAGATTTGAAGCAGCAGGCTATTGCAACTGCCCAGGAGGAAAAGAGGCATATACTTTCATATGCAGAATGGACAAAACTTGGCAAATATTGGATGAAGGGTGGGAAAGAATGAGGAGTGAAGAATGACATTGTGAGCCTGGGTGCCTAGAAGGATGGTAGTACTCAAGACATAACAGGGAAGTGAGGAAGAGGAGAGGGTTGGGGGGGGGGAATAATAAGTTTAGTTTTAGACACGTTGAGTTTAAGATGCCTATGGGATTTCCAGTTCAAGATGTCCAACAGGCAGCTGGAGATACAAGACACGAAGACTCAGCTAAGGAGGCTGAGAAGGAGCAGTCAGATAGGTAGTGGAACCAGGAAAGAACAGTGTCATAAAAATCTAGAAGAAAAAAAAAGGATCATATAGGAGAAATTATGAGGATTGAGAAAAGGCCATTAGATTTGGGGGTTAAGAGATCATTGTTAAATTTGGAGGAAGTAGTTTCAGTTGAATACGACTGGAGCTAAGTGGGGGAATGTACATAGCACACTGGGCCTGGAAGACAAACTTCAAATCCAGTCTTAGTCACTTACTTGTTGTGTGACCTTGGGCAAGTCATCTGCCTCAGTTTCCTCAACTGTAAAATGGAGGATAGTAATAGCACTTATCCCACAGGGCTGTTGTGATGATCAAATATTTTGACAGGGCTTAGCACAGTGCCTGGCACATAATAGGCATAAATGTTTGTTCTCTTCCCTTCCCTTTTACTAAACTGTAGAGAATTAAGAAGAGGGCAGAGCAAAAGAAGTAGTGAAATGATTGCATGTAGATGACCTTCTTCCAGAGTTCAGCCAGAAAAGTGAAAGAAGATATTACCAAAGACACTGGAGGGGTGGGGGAGGGTGGACCAAGGAAGGGTTTCTTTTTTCTCTCCCTCTTATTTTTTTTAAAGGTAACCAGGTTAAATGACTTGCCCACAGTCACATAGCTAATATGTGTCACATTAGCTAATAGGTCACATAGTCTAAGGCCAGATATGAACTCAGGTCTGGTGACTCCAGGGCCGGTGCTCTATCCCCTGCACCAACTTGCTGTCCCCAAGTAAGAGTTTCTTGAGGATGGGAGAGATATGGACATGTATGTAGGAGACAGGGATGCAGCCAGTGTGAAATTAGTGAAAGAATAGGATGAGAGAAGGGGGCAGTCTGCTGGAGAAGATGGAACGGGAACATGTGTGTACACAGAGATCTCCTTGGCAAGAAGAAGAGCTACCTCTTCATGTGAGGCATGAGTGAAGGAGGAGACAGCCCTGGAAGGCATCTGAGAAAAGCGAGATGAGAGGGAGGGAAAAAAAAGGAATAAATCATGAGCAATTCACTTAACTCCACTGCCTAACAAAAACAAAAACAAGACCAATAAACCATGAGGCAAGATTCTCAGCTGAGAGGATGAGGAGGGAGCCAGGGGAGGTCTGAGAAGGGGTCAAAAGATCTGGAATCCTGCGGAGAGCTAGATAGTGAATTGATTTAGGTAGGCATGAAAGCACTGTAAGGGCCCACTGAGATTAAATAACAAAAATTGGTAGTAGACCCACTCAGCAGAGTTTCATGTTTTCTCCAGCTTCATTCAACAGCACATGAATAGGCATGAAGGCGGCAGATGTGGGTGTGGGTAAAGACACATTTCTCTTCCCCCCAAATAACATTAAGTGTTTACTATACGTCCAAGGCACTATTAATCAATGATAATATAAAGATTCTAAAACACATGCCTAAGAGGAGGGGTATGGATGTGTGGATGTGAGCACAGGCACAAGCAAGAGGTTAAAGTGGGATCTGCCTTCACAGAGGTTCTCATCTCTGAGATATAGATCCTACACTGGCGCTATCATTTATTTCTTCAGTGGCAGGGACTGATCTTCTAGGGGAGGGAGGACAGCAACTACATTAGTCCCTTGAGAACCAAGCCTTAATATGAGTCCATTTTGTTGTTCTTCACATGCCTTTTAATAGGGTTATAGGATTAAACCTAATTTTGCTCTATGTTCATATGCTAATTGGAAGCTCAGTGCTTGCCTTAGGACACTGAATGAGGCTGGGGGAGTAGAAATGAGCCAAATTCATATATTTCCATGACTTGAGCCCTAAGTGGGATACATGAATGAGCTATATAAAGTATTAGAAAGGTGCCCTCAAGGTTGTGCCCCATCTGTAAAAGAGAAGCCCCAATGGACTCATGAGAAACAGATAAAGGATAATAAAGTGTTTTGCAAATCCTTACAGTGCCATGCAAATGCTAGTAAGTCAGTTTCTTTGGGTCTGTTTCCTCATCTGTAAAATGTGGGGTAAGACCTCTGAGGTCCCTCCTTGTTCTAAATCTAGGATTGCATTGTTGTTGGGAAATTTTCCTGACATTTGGAACTATCCAAAGTTCCTCAGGCTGACTCAAGACTCAGGGATCTCTAATAAAGGAAAACCCTTCAAGTGAAGCTGAATGATCACCTGTCAAATACAATAGAGGGGTTTCCTGTAGAGTTGTAGGGCTGCCCTCTAGTTTGGAAGGTCTCTTCCATCCATGTGTAACTATGCATCTGAGAAAGGCAAGTGTATACGTATAAGCCTCAGAGACAGTAGGGCATAAAAGGGTATATATATGTAAGGGGAGTGTATTTGTGGTAGAGGAAGGGAGTGTCTCAGAAGACAGAACAGCTCACAAGGTGCTTATGTCAGAGTCTGCCCTTTAGTACTTTGGTTAGCACATGGAAAAGGGGGAAGGAGGGAGGTGAGGAAACTATGCCGGGCCCAGGGGTGTTGGGGGCTCAGTGGGCCATGAGAAAGAAGTGAGTCACATCAGGAGTCCTCGTCCAGCACAGCTCTAAGCTGAAGAGCTCAGGCTGGAGCAATAGCGAAGTTCCTCCTTAGCTATACCTGAAGAGGCAGGCAAGAGGCGGAAAAGGAGCTAACCCACCAGAACAATCCTGGACAGAGCAGAGCCAGAGATAAGAGACTACCCGAGAACGGGAACCATGGCTCCTGGTACTTCTTGGTGGCTATGGGTTCTGGGAACCCTGGTGGGACTTTCACCGAGGGTAATATCCAAGCTTCACTGCCCACAAGGACAATACCAGGTGGAGCAAGGATCATGGTGCTGCCAACTATGTAATCCAGGTAAGAAGGAACTAGAAAGGGGATGGATAGGAGTGAGGGACAGAGAAACATAAGAGGTAATGGGGGAGGGAGAGAAGAGATGCAGAGTGGAAAAAATATAAATTTCAGAGAGAAAAAAAATTGAACAGAGTAATCGAGGGATGGGGAAGTCAGTGAGATGTTCCACTCCAAAGTGGGTAGAAAACAGGGCTAGCGTTCCACAGGCCCTTCATCCCTCACCGGGCCCCCCCCCACAGGCACATTCCTAGTAGGGGACTGTGACGGTGACGGGAAGGAAGCTCACTGTAAATCCTGTATCCCTGGATTCTCCTTCACCCCAGACCACCATGCCCAGCGCCAATGTGAGAGCTGCCGAATCTGTGTTAATGGTAAGGCTGAAAGGGGGATCGGGCTGGGGACGCAGAGGAGCAGAGTGAATGAGGAGCTGGGGGAGGAGGTTGCCGGAAAGTACAGGGGCTGGGGTTTCTGTAGAGTAAGGAGGCAGTGGAAATCCAGGAGTACTTTGAGGGTGCAGCTGGGAGATGAATTTAGAGAGGAGCCCAGTTAAGGGGAAGGGAACAGACTTCAAGGCTTGTGGGGATGGAGCTATAAGCCTAGCAGGACGATGAACAGGATTGCTGAGACTAGAATCTCATCTCAGCTGTCTCTAGGGCCCTGGGTTATTTTACTATAGGGCCATACTACAGGCTGTTATGAGAAGGAATGATAAGGGGGGACCTCCGGGTGAATGTGTCTCCCTCTATTCTCCTACCTTGCCCTCAATCTTCCCCAGGCTTTCCGATTCAGAGCTGCAACATCACTACCAATACAGAGTGTGCCTGCCCCAAGGGGCAACAGTGTCGAGATAAGGAATGTACCAGCTGTGATCCCCAACCTACACACCTGCTGAGCACACCCCAGTACACCGTCAGAAGTACACATCAACACCCTGCAACCACACACCAACACCCTACCAACACCCACTCAGCTTACTACTCCGGTAGGCTTCATCCTAATGCCAAAGCTCCTCAAGCATCTCCCGGATGGGGCAGGCATGGGGAGGGGTCATATGCCCCTGCTATGGGAGCATCTCATTCCCAGAATCCTCCATGAGTTATATCTGCCTCCTCCACCAAATTCATACCTTTAAATCCTATTGACCCCAGAAGAGAATAGCTGAGAGAGCAGTGTTGAGGACTGGTGGGGATGGGGAAGGAACTATGGGTGTGGAATGCTGTATACACTGTCACATGAAAGTGCTTTGTTGGTCAGTCTTGCTTAAGTGTTTCTTGTTGTTAGGTTGTTAGGTAGGAAGGATGGAGGAGTGCATAGCATTGTTTTCAATAAGGATGTGACACCTACATTTCGATTTTTGCTTTTGTCCCTTTTTGTTTACACACTAATCTTTCTCATTCTTACATTTTCATAAGAAAGCTTTAATTTTTTTTTCTTGGGGGGGGGCTAGGCAATTGGGGTTAAGTGACTTGCCCAGGGTCACACAGCTAGTAAGTGCCAAGTGTCTGAGTCCAGATTCAAACTCAGGTCCTCCTTACTCCAGGGCCAGTGTGCTCTATACACCATGCCACCCAGCTGCCCCCATTTTCTGTGTGTGTATGTGTGTGTGTGTGTGTGGCAACTGGGGTTAAGTGACTTGCCTAAGGTCACACAGCTAGTGTCAAGTGTCTGAAGCTGGATTTGAATTCAAGTCCTCCTGACTCCAAGGTCAGTTGCTTTACCCACTGTGCCACATAGCACCCCCTTAATTTTTTGATATTATAAAAATATTTACCTAAATTTGGGTTGAAGGAAGAGGCAAAATGAGGGGCATATTTGGACTGATCGTGTGTGTATACAACTCAGAAAGGGTCTCATTAGGAAGATTTCCCTATAGAGGGACTTCTTGGGAGGGTGAGTAAAATAGTGAAATGTTTCAAAAAAAAATAAAAAGAAAAACAGGACCCTAAGTCCTGTACTCAAAGCCAAACCCAGAGAGGAGGAAAGTAATGGGAAGAGAATCCCTTTCATCATCCCATCTACCCTTTTTCCCCTTAAAAAAATAACTGATAAAGTTATTGAGCCAGGGTACAGGACTGAGGATCAAGTGCTCTTCATTCTTGTCTCCTCTCTAGAGACAGCTGGCACTAGTGCTCCAACAGGACCTGCCCAAAGCCCACGTAAGTTTTATCACCAGTCCTGAAGATCCCCCATTCCTGGGTGGGATCTAGCAGAAGAGGAGTTGGGTGTCTGATCTGACAATGCGGGAGGCCAGAGTGGGAAGTAGCACTGGAAGGGGAGACCCTCCGACAGACCCCATCAGTCCTTTGCCTATTACAGCAGGAACAGTCCCATCCAGCCAGGTCAGCATTTACATCCTCCTCATTCTCTGTGGATTGATTCTGACCATCTTCATTCATGGGACTTGGCTTATCCTGAAAAAAAGAAACCGCCAACTCAAAAAGGAACAAGGTACCACATGGGTACTAAGGAACTTGCTCCCTGTCTCCAACCCAGCTCCTTTCCCTTGGCACTTGGACTCCTACCTCAATCACACACTGTATCCTCTACCTTCCACCCAAACCCTGTTGCCATACTCCTCTTGTGCCCCCACCCTACCATTCTTCCTCCTCTTTTCTTGCTTGAGCTTTACCCTTCCTTTTCAGCTTCCCTGGTTTTCCAATTCATCTCCTCAAACCTTTTAATCATCATTCTCTTTTCTCTTATCTGCCTGCTTCTCCTTTCTTATCTGTGTATTTTTTTCCCACTCACAACCTCTGTCCTGTCTTGTTTCCCTCTGCAGACAAGAAAATGCTAGTCAAGTTCTGCCTAACTGGATCCAGAGAAGACCTAGGCCCCTGCTGTCCAAAGCAGGAGGAAGGGAACACTGTGCCTATCCAAGAAGATTACAGAAAGCCTGACCCTGCCTCTTACCCCTAAGCCAGACTTAGCAAGGCAGTACTGACAGGACAGCATTCTTCTCTACCTTGGCCTGGCTCCTGGCATGACTATTATGAGTGTGGGAGATCTGAGAACCCTCTCACTCAATACCAACACCTCCTAGGAGCCCTCGACACCACCCCCTGCCCAGGTGTCTTCCCCCTTTCTTACCTAGAAACTTCATTTGACTTTACAAACAGTGGAGAAGGGTGTCGAGAGAAAAGGAGAACACATGTTGGGGTGTGGTAAGGCTAAGGAAGATTGTGATGAGAAGCAGAGGACACTTGGTGCACCCTGTGGTCTCACATGGGGACTCAGTAAAGTAGAAAGAGCTCATATATACAAATAAAACTGCCGCACTTCTCTGGCTGAGAAAAAGCAAGCCCCAATTGTTGTATCGGATAGCAAATCATCAAATTAAGGAGAGGAAATATAAATATGTACCCCCTCCAGTCTCTTAACATGAAATGCTGAGATCCTTAAGAATTTGATGAATCAATTCACAGGCTGCTCCCCACTATTCCTCAAAGCCACCTTCTCTCTCCATACATGAAGAGTTTTCTCTGCCCTAGAGGGTATTTATTCAGGTTCTGACTGGGGGATATACTATATACTATACTAAATCTAACAACAGAAGCATCCCAGAGGTAATGGGAAAAACTCAGATCATAGACCCTTAACTGCTCAGTCCAGGACCATGTCCTTTGGCATTAGTAGAGCCTACTGCTTCTTTCTTCTGCATGAAGAAGATTCTGAGGTGATCCCCTTAGTCACTAACAAACTAGGGATGGGGGAGGACAGAGAGAGGAAACAGTTGGTATTGGAAGCAGTGTCACTGCCTCAGAGTGAACGTGGACTGGAAGAGTACTATCTAAAAGTGGGGCTTGGGAAAGGATGCCAGGAAAGTTGGCTCTTTCTCAGGTACACTGGATGGCTCCACTGACTTCCAAAGGCTGCTCCTCTGCCTCATCCCTAGCGAAAGGAGAAACTTTAAGACTATCCCAAAAACTCCCCATCCCTAGAATTTCTCTGCTGCACATCACTCTGAAGAGCCCTAAAAGCTCACCACTACCCCTCAGTTCCCCACATCCTTCTCCATAACCGGTCAGGCCAAAGTCTAATCCCTTTATTTCACAGATGAGGTCCAAAGAGTACCCAGGATTTTACAACTAGTAAGTGTCTGAGGCAGAATATCAACTCAGGTCTTCCCGACTCCAAGTCCAGGGCCCATTACTCCACGCAGGGGAGTGCTACCCATCTTACCAAATACAGAAAGTAGGTGACTGAGACACCTCTTGCTCTCCTTACAGACCAGAGAGAAGACTACTGCTGAAGGCATAGCTTGGGTCATCAGGAAAATTCAGGTGCCTGAGAGAGAGAACTCTGTTTCTATGACAATAGGAATCCTTGGGGATGATCCTGAAGGGGCCATCTTATACCTCAAATTTAACCTGCCCCCAGGCCCTGAGGGTACAAGGCCAATTGCAGGCAATAAAGTGGAAAGTATACTGGAGAGGTACACATTTCACATTTATCATCTTCAGTGGCCCAGGAGATGGATCTCTTCTACCTTGTCCAACTTCCTTCTAGAAACCACAGAAGACGGAAGATTCCTTAAGGTCAGTTTTAGAGCTAGAAGAGACTTTTAGAAGTCACCTAGTGGGCAACTTAAGAGGTTCTTTTAAGGCAATTGGGGTTAAATGACTTGCCCAGGGTCACACAGCTAGTAAGTGTCAAGTGTTTGGTCTGAGGCCGGATTTGAACTCAGGTCCTCCTGACTTCAGGGCTGGTGCTCTATCCACTGTGCCACCTAGCTGCCCCATTAAGAGTCTTTTAGAGAGCTCCCTGTCAGTAATTTGTAGAATGCAACAGTTCATCACACGTAACACCCACAACCCTTCAGCCTGGTTTTTGGCTTAACTCAGGATTCTTAGCCCCTTAGTGTTACCAAGTTAGACTCTTCTCAGGAAGAAAACACTCAGCAATGTATTTTTCAGCTAGCCATAGAAACCCTGCTGCCCCCTCCTCTGTTCCCGTCTCCCCTATTTGCAGCTGTTTCTCTATTTGTTTCCAAAGGTATGTGATCTATTTGGCTGCAACTTTAAGCATGGTGGAGCAGAGGGTGTTCTTCAGAGTACACCTGGGTAATTCGCTCTGGAAAAGCTTCTGTCCAGGAATGAGGACAACACAGACCTCTTGAAGATGGCAGGCTGTTTCCAGTAGTGCCAAGGAAATTAAGTGTATGACAGAGAATATCTGCAGATGCAACGTCCAGTCAGTTTCCTGTCCTCACTTCCACCAGCTAGCACCTGCTTGTGGCTGGACAGCTACGGGTCTCAAAATGAGATATCAAACAGCATGGAACACAAGAGTGGACAGCAATTCCATTGCCAACATAGAAGGATATCTTTAATCGCAATCAGAAGAGCAAATAGCACAGAAGCACCAGTGCTTTAACCTATGGAGAAATCTGCCCCTAGTTTAGGCCAAGTCACCCAGAAGCCATCAGGTTGGTGGTAGGAATTTGTATTTTTTTTCTTTTTTCAGAGTACACGAAATTGGTAAATGTGCTACATGCCTTACTTGGAATACAATTATTATTATTTTATACAAGTATGAGATTAGAGGAAGGGAAAGAAAGACAGAGAGGGGACAACAGACACAGCGAAAAATCCCACAACGGCTCATGACAAACCGGAAGGGATGGGGGAACATGGGGAAATCTGCTTCATTTGGCTGGAAAGTCCTGGGTGTGTATACAACAGCATTTTTGCCCATGCATGGGGATGATAGCAAAGAGACAGAATCAGGTCAGGGGTCAAGAAAGTAGGAGTGAAGACATCCTCCCGACCCCCCCCCAACCCCTCCAAAAAGAGCCAACCTTGGAGAATCTATTCTGGTCACTGGAAAGGAGCTCTTAGCCACAAAAGAAACCCAGAGTGCAAAATCCTTTGACAAAGCGCTTAAAGTGATGAAGAGGCTGGGGCTTAGTGAGCCCAGGGGGCTGGTTTGTTCCTGGCTCTAGAGGCAGCGAGGACAGTGGTGGTTCTTCTCCAGCGGTGTCCCCCCAAGAGAGGAAGGCGCCCAGAGGACAGTGGAGACCTTCTTGGGGGAGACGTTGGGAGGGTACACTCATTGCTTCCTTCTAGCTCTTCAGTCCCGCCACAGGGCAGGACAAAGGGAGTATGGAAGTAGGCAGGGGTTGGGGAAGGGTGTTTTGTGTTTTTGGTTGTTTTTTTTTTTTTGCAAATAAAATGGTGGTGCATGGAAGGTGAACATGCAGCCCCAAGCCCTATACTCCCTTTGCTTGACTATATATAGAGGTGGGAGAAGAGGTCACTGTTGTACCTACCCAGGAGGAGTCTCATTTGGCATCCTGTCTTAAAGCTAGAAGGAAATCCCTATGGTACATCAGAAAACTGGACACAGTTATGATCCCTCTGCCTGGGCCAATAAACCCAAGCATTACAGAAGGAAAGAGACTTAAAATTAGCATGAAGGGGCCAGTGGACAGAAAAGGTACTGAATGGTAGGTAGGATGGCAAAGTGATGGCTCTCAAGGAAGAAAACCTAAATGTCAGCACAGCCACACAGCTAATAGCTACAGCAGTTACCCCCAAAAGGAAGACACTGGTCTAGCATCTACAATGGACTGGGCTGCCTGAAAAATCTTATAGTCTTGTTTCCAGGCTGGGCCTATCACTACATCCCTGTCTTTGGTATGACAATGGGGCAGAGCTGAGAAAGGACTTTTCCAAGGTATCAGGGACCTCCAGTTCCCAAACCTCCACCTTCCTGCCATCAAAGGAAAAGGAGAAATCAACCATCTACTCTAACAAGGCTGCTTTTATCCCAGCCAAACCTTGGTGACCTTCTTTATCAGGAAGCTTTTCCTGGTCCTCCTTATCCACCCCCTCCTACTCCTCCCTATTCCTCCTCCCCCCTCAGCGCCCACCCCAGTGCCTTCCTTCCGAGACCATCTTCTAGCTATTCTGTATAGATCGTATAGATACTTAGTTGTTCATCTACTGGCTTCCCCACTAGAAAATGAACTCCTTGAGGAGCCAGGGACTGTTTCTGCCCTTTCTTTGTACCCCCAGTTCTTAGCACAGTGCCTGGCACATAAGAGGTACTTAATAAATGCTTACTGATTGACTTGTTACTCTTGAATGAGGTCCCTTATCTCACCTTACCCTCAGCTGAGTTCCCAGGGCACATCTTTTCAGTATCTTTACACTGACTAAGATTAACCAATAGTCCCAAATTCTGATTGCAAAGGATATTATTTTTGGGTCCCCTCACACACTATTAGATTTGTCTACTAAGAGTTGACCTGACATCTTACCAGTCTCTGGTACCACTTCTAAATGGGGGAGCAGAAAATGGGCAAAACAGCACCCCAATGTTTTCTAAGTCAAAGGGAAAAGTGTCCAAACCCACCAGTTCTACAGCACCAGAAACACTGGCAGATCCCAGGCCAGACTAAAGGCAGAGGCGGCAGCAGCAGCAAGAGAGAGAGGGAAATCCTTCTAAAAACACTGCGTACCAGGAACACACTGGGAGTGGACATAATTCAAGGTCTTCTAGGCTTGTGAGTATTGCACTTAATTATAAAAATAATGATCAGACTCTGCATGTTATTGCCCCAGACCTCCAAAATATCTTTCCAAATAAAGCTATACTGCTGTACTACCAAAATCACTACTGTGATTTCTGATGGCCCAGGATGGTCCAGGCCAAGGTTTTCCCACCTACTAACAGAGCCCACTAAGAGGCTGAGTAGGCGGTGAGGTGAGGGTGGCTGTGAAGAGACTGCCATTTCCCTACCTTCTCACCAATCCTCCCACTGGGTTGCCAAGGCCCCTGCACTCCCTGCTCCCACTGGGCAGATTCCTCTGGACATGATCTTGGCTGACCTGCTTCTCCCTTGACCTCCACTCCACTTCCTGTGGTTTGGGCACAGTTGTTTTCTGAAGGGGAGAGGCCAAACACTGGCTACCTGTGCTTCATGGAGTGAGAATGCAGCCACCTCAAGAGCAGCATGGCCAGTGTGTGGGGGGGTTTAAGTACAAACCAAAGCAACTAAAGAAGAGGAAATGAAGGAGCCTGGGTAAGGACAAGGTGAATGGACTGGGTCTGCTGGGAGAGTGAACAGTGGGAAAGGGGTATGAGTTCTGATGGGGGCAGGGAATGAAGGAGGGGGGTGGTACATTAAGTAAAAAAATAGACTGCAGACAGGAATCAGGAAGGCACAGATAGAAAGAGACAGAAGAAAACAAGAGGGCAAGTTAACCAAGTTACTAGACATTCAAGTCCATCAGGCACAGATGACCTGTCCCCTGTGTTTCCCTCTGACAGTAGCACCAATGCCCCTCTTCCTCCAAACACAAGAGAACTGGACTCCCTCCAAAATCTCACTGAGGAAGGGCTTGCCCAGCACCAAGAGGTGCCTCTGTCCCATCTGTTGGGCCCCCCACTTCAACCCCACCAGGCCAGGTTTTCTGTCCCACAAATGGAGACAGTCATGCCATACCTCACCCAGAGCACCTCCAGTTCCCCAGGAAGGCAAGGGAGAAGATTCTGGGGCTTTCCCACCTGTTCACCCCCGTCAGTGATTTCAACGGATACTTACTTACAATAATTACCACGATGATGGCACAAATGGCTCCCAGCATGATCATCATCTGGGAAAAAAAAGGTAAGGGGGAGTAAGTCTCTCAGATCAGAAGAAGAAGAAGATCCAGGACTGCCTTTTCTTAAACTACCAAGCAGAAGGAACTCCCCATTTCTTGAGGTAATTGTGGAAATATCAGGACACCCAAAACACTTTTAACATGTCGTGTACAGGTTTCCTCTTCTGATACCTACTTGGTAAGCTACTGCACCAGGCTAGATCCTAGGATGCCCTTCCTTTTTTTTTTTACTGTGGCCTAAGAAAGAGCCTGAGCTCTACAAAGTTGTAAATGGAGGTTCCATTTGCAAACAGTGATACTGGTTCACTTTTCTTTGTACATTTTTATTATTTGGGGGGTGGCTGGTTCCTTCTGAAGCAGCTGATACAGGAGGTCCCTAACAGGTTGCAGGCCAAAAACTTGTAAGTCTCTACTTACTTGGACCTTGTTTCTGTGGGGGAAATGTTCCCTTACCCACGATGTATAAAAATGTTTCCGTGAGAAAACATCCACATCTCAACTTAGACATCACAGGTGCCTGAAAATTTCATAGAAATATGTGTCCAGGAGAACATCTTCCCCTGCTGCTGCAGCAAGGTAATAGAATCAGCACTGGCTCCCAATGACCAATCAATCCCTCCAGACCTGCTGAACAGAAAGGTAAGTTTTTTCTGGCTTCAAATCACTTGTGAGCTCCCATGGTGACTGGTGGCTCTCCTTTCTTGGTCCACCATGGAAGGAAATGCAACCTTAACTTCCCCTTCCTCCCTTCCCCAACTGTCTCGTCTCATGAAGCAAGCACATGACAATAATCAGAATAGCTCTCTCCTATCCTAATGGGGATTAGTTTTTTGGATATAGCTTGGACTAGATTTCTATGCACATTTTAAAAACAATGATGTAAAGCAGGTTTTTTCTGGTATAAAAAAAATAACAAAGTAAGCCTTTGTTTAAAAAGTATTTTAGACAAACAAACCCACAGTAAGTCTTCCTGGGAACTTCAGGGAGGACATACAGGGGTGATTTTTTAGGGGAAAGCTGGAATGATTTAGAGTAATTTGGTGAAAATATTCATGGGACAATTTTCGGAAGCCACAGTTTAGCACTCCTCTTCCAAAAAAGACCTAAAACACAAGTGCTCTAGGAAGAGCTCACAGTTCTGGAGTACTCTGAGGTTAACAAAGCATCTGAAGCATTACAGAATAAGCTTCTACAGCAGGATTGGTTATATCTCATTTACGAAGAAGGAAACCAGGGATCAGACTGGCGGTAACGAAACTTGATCAGTCACACAGCCAGTAAGTAAAAGAAGAAAGAATTAAATTGGTCATACACACCAACCTAAGATGGCTCCTCATTTATGGCAAATGTCAGCACAGCTGTGGCTGTGGGAGCTTCCAACCCTAAAGCCGATCTCCCCAGGGGCAGCTGTGTAGCATGGTGGATAGAACAACATCAGGCCTGGAGTCAGGAACTCATCTTCCTGAGTTCAGATCTGGCTTCAGACATTTATTAGCTGTATGACCCTAGACAAATCACTTAACCCTGTTTGCCTCAGTTTCCTTATCTGTAAAATGAGCTAGAGAAGGAAATGGCAAACTGCCCCAGTATTTTTGCCAAGAAAACCCCAAATACAGTCAAAAGAGTTAGAAAGGCCTGAAACAACTGAACAACAACAAAATGACCTCCCCAACAACCCAAAAGCTACTCCAGGGTATGCCTTCCCAAGCCACCAATTCAATTCACTATGCTCCCAGAATACCCTAGTGGACAACATGGGGGTATTATTATAGAGCCAGTCAGGAAAGTCTTCTATGGGACCAATGAGCGAAAATGGGAGGCCCCAAAGACTTCTTCCAAACTTTCTCAGAACAGCTCTTCAAGTAACCTACATCTGGACGGGTGAAAAGTAGAGCGTAAATGATAGTATTACACTGATACTAGGTCCAAGGAAAGAAGAGAGAAAGTTTACCTTACAATTTTTCCACCAGTACTTCCTCTTTAGCTTGGCAGCACTGCTCTCAAATTGTGATGCTCCTGCCTGCAAGGCGTCTGCACGGTCATCCAATTCAGACAGCTTTTGATCCCTTTCCAGGACCTTGTCCACATTCACACGCATGATATCTACCACCTGAGGAAGAAAAGTATGTGTAATGCAAGCAACATTGGTCCAAAAAAGTCAAAGTACTTGAATTCTAGCTCTGGCACTAAATGGTGGATAACAATCACTCTGGGCCTCAGTCTGCTCTTCTGTAAAATGAGTAGACTGGACTATAGCATCAAAGCCTCTTCAATCCCTCTCATTCCCATTTGGTATTTCCACACTCTAGATCTTAATTTATTAATGACTGTGACTTGCATTATTTATAGGGAAACCAAATTGTCTGCACCTACCTCCTCCACTTGTGCCTGTGTTTGCTGCAGCCGTCTGTTACTAGTTGTATTGGGAGGTGGACCACCTCCTGGGGCACCCCCTTCTGGGGCTCCTGGTGTAGGTGGCTGTGCTGGAGCAGACCTATTGAAATAGGAGGAAAATAAACCAAGTACACATGAGAAGAAACAAAAAAGAATTTTCTTATCCTCCTAGCAAGGCCAAAGCAGAAGTGGTCGCTCTTCGAAAGTTACTCCTCTCCTAGACAGTTTTCAAAGTATGGAGCCACATCACAAAAGAAGCAAAAGGAGAAAGGTTAGCCCCAACACTAGAATTTTTAAGGTCCTGATCCAGGTAGGCAAAAACACTGTAATACTAAGATAAGAGTAGCAGCAAGGAAGATGATCTGGATTTCCTTCTCTGATACTGAACCAAATTCAAATGTTTCCAGGACATTAGTGTTTTCTGACACCTTAGCCAATTTATAAAAACAACCTAGAAGGGGAGAAATGAATCCATGCCAGGGAACGAAAAAACTAGTCTTTTAGCATGTGAGTCTTGATGAGGGAAAAGAGAAGCAGTGTTCTCTGAGCACAAAGGGAAGGGAAAGAGCAAGCTGACTTTTTGTTTAAAAGGATCCTGTTATGGTTATACTCTATGCAGTAGCTACTAACACTGAGGATGCTCAATATAAGAAAACTTGGAGAATTACCAAAAGACAGGCCTACTGGCAAAATGGAGGAAGCCTGCTCAGAAAGAACCTTCCCTTGTAAAAAAGGTGAAAAGAAGGTGTTTCTCACTGGGTCATGAGACTGCAGACTCTAATTCTCCCAGTCCTAGCACATGCATCATGGATTAGTCGACCCTCTCCTAGATAAAGCAGGAGGCCTTTAGAAGCTCCTTTCAACACCTTCCCCCATTCCAAAGCAGGTTGGTAATATGAATTACAACCATTAATTCAGATGCCTTTAAATACCACCTAGAGTCCCTGGCAGAGGAATCTTCTAAACAGGTTTCTGCTAATATATACAACAAAAATGGAGACCTTTGCCTTAAAAATTTCCAGAGCTCTAGTATGAAGCTTCTTTCACAAAAGGAAAAAAAAAACCCTTCCTGATAAGGTTTTTGCCATTTCAAAGTTTAAGGATAAGATTCCTACCATACTTCAAATAGAAAGGAAATCCTATATTCTATTGAGAGAAAACGATCTCAAAAAGCAGACTATGAGAGTTACTACAAACCAGATCCACTGTTCATCCCCTCCACTTATAGGATCATCTCAAACCAGATTATTAACTTTCAGAAATCAGCACACCTAATTCCTCTGAAAACTGATGATTCACCTTTTCCTAGTCCTCCTAGACTCTACCAGCAAGTTATACCAGGACAAAAATCCCTTCCCAATCACCTCTATTACTTAAAGAATCTCCTGAACAGAAGGAAGAAAAATTCCAAAGGAAGCTTGTATGTCCTGCTCCTCCCCAAAAGTAGAAGGGACATCAAGGGAAAGAAAGGAAAGGTAAAAAAGCAACTCAGCTTTTTAAAGCTACCTGACCTGAGTAACCTGATCTATAAAATAAGACTAAAAAATTCAATTGGTTCTAGACTGGCAGTTTTAGTTTTGGAAGAGGGCCAGAATGGTAGCACCGATGACAACATTAAGGAACATTAAGGTCGGAGATTGCTGGATGCTTTTCACTATCTAGGACCCATCTCAGTAAGTACATCCCACATGGCTTTGCCAACTGGAACTTTAATCAGAGAAGCCCCTTGTCTTCACTGTTCCCTCACACACACTCTAAAAATAACTGGAGTCTCAGGACTCAAGTAGTGTTGATGATCAAATATGATTCAAATTAAATCAGACATGATAAAAAAAATCGTGGTGTGAATTAGCCTGGAGTCTGAGACATACTACCTTACCTCCCCCTTAACCAAATGATGGTATTTTAGCAAGTCTCTGAAAATAAGTGGCTGAGTAATAGTGAAAATAGGTATTAATTTCCAAGTCCTTCAGCCCCAATGATATGTGAACTTATGCCACACAACTAAATGTTTTTTTTTTTAATTTCCAGGCGGGGACCCCTATTGCCAAAGTGGCTACGGCTCTCAGCAGTGGTCACGCTTGCATGAAAGCACATTTCCATCACTGACAGCGTGGAGTGATAACTCGGGAGATTCCCGACCACAGCTCGAGATCTCTCCCTCTTCTCAGGCTCGTTTTGGTACAGTAAGAAAAATGGGGGCCATCTGGATAAACTGGGTGGAAAAATTTTTTGCATTAACTTGGCTCCAGAGAGGGCAGGGCAGAGACAGGGGAAAGGGAAAAAAATGTTTGCAAGGCACGTTTATTAGTGGACCCTGCCAGATTGAAATGTCACCTGCCTGCCAGTCTCCCCTCCCTCCCCATGGACAGCCCTGGGAAGCCTGCCCTACCCCCGGTGGGGGCGCCCCTCCTGGGGCCAATCTCGGGCACACACCCCCGTACGTGGTTCAAGAGACAGCAGAGATACAGTACAGGAGGCTGGCTAAAAGCCTAGTCCAGCTCCTGTGAGACCTGGGCTGATCTACAACACCCCCAGTCCCACTTGAGACGTCCCTCTCCCTTCCACTTTGAGGGACACCACGCACCCCCTCTCTCAATGAGAGACACAGATCCCCGGGGGCCAGAATCCCTGGGGGAGGGTGCCGCGCGTCCTGGACCCCGGAGGTGGGGGGGACGGGCCCTGGGAGCGATAGTGGACGGAAGGCGAGGGGGAAGAGCCTATCGCCCGGCTGGTATAGCCCGGGGGTGGGCGCTCCGCTGCCCAGGCGGACGCTGCTGCAATGCGCCATTTTACCCCCTGCAGAGTCCGGGGCGGGGGCGGGACGGGCCCCGAGGGCTCCCCACTCATCAACAAGCTCCACTTACATCTCTCTGGTGGAGAGGGTGTGAAGGGGACCGTCTCCTACTCGGGGGCGGCAGCGGAGGCAGTGGGCGCGAGATGCTGCGACTGCGACGACGTCTTCTGCAGAACCGGACTCACAGTCTCCACCTCTTCACTGAGAGCCAAGCCTAAACTGCAGCTAAAGTTACTGCAGCCTCGTCCCGGCTTTCAGGATTTATTGGAAAGGCCCCGCCTTCTGCGGTGATGTAAGCAATCCAGATGTCCAATCAGTGCTCTGCGGAGACAAAATCGTAGCGCGGCCCCCAATACCCGCCAAAGGCTCCCCGGCCCCTCCCCTCTGCCTTAGCCAATCGCAACTTTCCCAAACGTCCGCTGTTTTTGCTCCCCCACCCCAAATCGGAGAAGAAAGGGCTGCTCTTCTTCTGCCACTTGGCACTTGCAAAGTCCCCGACCAGTTAGCACACGGACTGCGTAACATGCCTCGTGTTTCCTGGCTCGTGAAAAGACAATCACCAATGCGTCCCGGAGTCGGAAGGATGACTCTAAAGCCGAGATGCTTCAATTGCCAATGAGATGGCCCCTAGGGAGTCGACCAACCAATCACCGAAGAGAAGTGGTTTTCTTACTTCCCTCAGACCCCGCCCTGCGCCCGTTAGCCAATGAAAAGGCCCAAATGGCCCTGGGGGTGGGATTCTGTAGCGCACCGCCCACACGTCTCCGTGGTAGCTAAAGTGCGAAGTGCTGGGGGCGAGTTTTTCGAGGGTAGCCGGCCGGAAGTCCGCCCTAGCCCTGGATGCCAGGTTTCTTCTGGATAGAACCCCGTCCAAGTGTGGAGGTTCTGAGAGGGGCCCCTGAGTGGTGAGGAGGAAAATAGGCGTGCCAGCCTGCTGGCAGCGGTTGTGTAGTATTAATATACAGCGTGTCCCAGAAGTCTTAGTGCAGTTTTAAGCTCCGACACTTTGTATATTATATACATTATGAACCATACAACAAAAAATAGGAAGATGAGGTAATGATGAAATAACTTATTTATAAATTTATTCCACTGATAAATCATACAAAAAACCTTTTCTCATTACAGTATTTTTGTTGAGAACAATATGATTGAGTATGCTCATTATTTTTTAAAATCTTGGTTTAAAATTTTGTGATGCTGCCATTCAGAAATCTGGTTCTAAGTTCAATTTGTTTCAATATTTGTTTATTTCAGTAGTTGGTTTTAATGACTGTCATAGCTGAAAAAAGAAACCTTACAAAGATTCTTAGATCCAAATGGAAGAAATGCATCATTTGGCTGTGCTCACATAATCATGACTCAATTTTTCAATCCCATCTACTAATTACGCAAAGGTTTTTGTTGAAATGTGGCTAGTAAGTTTCCATTTTTCCTGATGTCAAAAATCAGTCGTCCTTGCAAACTAACCAAAATGTGTTCTATTTTGATTATTTAACAAATAAGCACAAAACCCACTGAAACTCTTCATCTGGACATCAAAACATTTTGGAAGATTCTATATCAAGTTTTAGTGGGCAGGTGAGTTTTTATATGTGATACATTTTCAGCAACAAAAACTTTAAAAATGTCTAATACTGTGTCATACTGTCATCAATTAATATCTCAAGATACAAATACGTTTAGGACAAGGGTCATTATTAACTACTGTTGAGTCATTTTTCAGTCATTTCCAATTCTTTGTGACTCCATTTGGGGTTTTCTTGGCAGATACTAGAGTGGTTTGCCATTTCTTTCTCCTGCTCATTTGACAGATGAGGCAAAGAGGGTTAAGTGATTTGCCCAGGATCACACCGCTATTGTGTCTGAGGCCACATTTGAGCTCAGATCTTCCTGATTGCAGTCTCAGTGCTCCAACTATTGGGCCAAGTAGCTTTCTCATATTATTAACTACAGTAGGTATAGTAGGTATTTGAAATCCAGATTTCAAATTATCTTTATAATGTTGGATTTCTTCAATTTCTTGTCATTCAATTTTTTACATCATAATGTAGAAGATGAAGAAATAGACGTGTCAGCTCTGCCATTTTCTTGTTCACTTGTGTTCACATTATCAATCTGAGGTTTCTTTACAAGAATCTTTTTAAAGTTAATTCTCCATTTTGTGATTGTTAAGATCTGTAAATCTCTTTGGCCAGGTACACAAACTACAACACATAGTATGCTGAGTGATCAAATGAGTAAGGGAACCATTACCAACTTCTTTACTAGAGGTATACAAAGAATAATTTGGTTGTGAACTATGTTCTCAGGATACCCCACCTTCTATATGTGACACAACCATCTGACACATAGACCAAGTGAGAGCAGTATTAATCCATATATTAAAGTAAGTAAAAACAATTTCTTTTTTCTTTTTTAGATTACGTGTGTGTATGTAAATATACTTCCTTCCCACAACTCCATAGATCATTTTACACATACCCCACTTTGGAGACCACTAGATTCCAGCCCTGGGTCACTGTTAAATCCAGAGCCAGTGACCGCTATGGGTAAGGGAGCCATGAAAGTTCAGGCTGGTGGGATAGGGAGACAGGTTGGATTTGTAGGAGGGGCAGTATCTGGTGGGGAGTAGGACAAATTATTTGGCTGGTGCTTTGAGTGTAGCACCACCTAGTGGGCAAAATGTCAGATCACAGATTTAGAGCTGGAAGGAACTAGTGTCTAATAGAGTCCAGCCCCGTCTTTTACAGAGAAACAGAAGCTCAGAGAGTGATATGCCTTGCACTCACAAGGGTGATGTCAGAGACAGGATTTGAACTTAGGTCCCATCGATCTAAAACAGATGTTCTTTCCATTACACATATTTGTTGGTCAATTGACCACTGACAGCCTGCTTTTCCGAAGGCTCGCAGAAACAAGGACACAAGCTTTTATGAGTTTTTAATGCTACTGCTGTACTGACAGAGTCACTCAGAGATACCTAATTATTGCACACCCAGGGTACACCACTGTCACACACCAGTACAAATACAAATATGGGGAGGCGGGGGTGGCAATAACAACTGGAAGGATTGGGACAGTCCTCATGCAGGGGATGTTACCTGGACTCAGACTCAAAAGGAAACTGGAGATTCCAAAAGTAGAGATGAAAAGTTAGTCAAAAGCACTAAGGGGCAGGCTAAGCAAAGGCACATAAGTAGGGAATGGAATTTTTAATATGAGGCTCAGCAAGTATGCTAGTTTGTCTGGAATGTAGAATTTATGATATTTTATTAAGTCGGGAAAGGCTTCTGGCCAAGAAGTCTGCCTGAATGGGGGCTGGCTGCCCAGTTCTCCAACACTTCCACTCTAAAAAAAAAATTAAATTTGTACTAGACCTAATAATGTTCAACAAATCCCCTGAGAAACTATATTAAGTCAGTCAGTCAACTAGCATTTATTAATTATCTACTGTGTTCCAGGCACTGTGCTAAGTGCCAGGGATACAAAGAAAGGTAAAAAACAGTCCCTGCTCTTAAGCTCACAGCCTAATGAGGGAGACAGAATGCAAACAACTTCCAAGAACTTATGCAAACATGAAAGTCAAGAGAAATCTAGAAAGGTAAATATAATTAAGCAATTGGAAGGGACCATATATGGTGTAACATCCTAAAAAGGGAAGAAACAAGTGTCCCTTCAGAACCTTAATGTCCTCAAAGGGTATTGAAAAAGTTAAATAAGAAAAACAGTAGTATATTGTTTCTTTTCTGAGGGTTTTAAGAAGGGTAGAGAAGAGAAAATAAATAGGAATATAGTAGTATAGAAGGGAGGAAGGAGGTGGAACTTGGTATTTATTCATAATTGGGGTACATAAACATGGAGAAAGGGGTAGGAGGAATGGACATCAGATGAATCACACTCTTATTTGAAAGGGATAAAGGAGGATTGTGCACAGTATGGAATAGGAATACATCAAAGTAAACACTGAACCAAGTGGGGATAAGGGTATAGGGTTAGTAAGAGGGAGAATTAAATGGGAGAAGGGGATAGTCATTAAAAGCAAAACAAACTTCCTGATCCTGACAGGGGAAAAAAGAACTAGAATCTAAAGGGTGCTAATCAATTGAGGAATAGCTGAACAAATTGTCATGTATGAATGTAAAGAAAGATTACTGTACTGTAAGAAAAGACAGAAAAATTATTATAGAGCATCCTGGATAGTATTAAGTGTTGCAGAGTGAAGTGAGCACAATCAGGAGAATAATTAATACAACTTTAAAACAACTTTGAAAGACTTAAGAGCTTTGATCAGCTCAATGACCAATGAAATGTTTCCAGAGGACCTGTGATGAAGTACATTACTCTGCTCCTAAAAGAGGAATGATGGCAGAAAGACATACCTTTTTGGACCTGGATACTATGGATTATTTTGTTTGCACTTACTTTTTACATGAAGTTTTTCCCCTTTTTCTCTTGTCTTTTAATGAGGTAGGGGTAGCCTGGAAAAGGGAGAATTAGCAATACTGTCATGAAAAAAAAAAGGCTACTGAAACGTTTTTTAGAATGCACATAAGAGAACAGAAGCAAGTTCAGGAGGAAACACATACAAGCAGAACAATTTTTAAAGTATAAGTAGAATTTTAAAATTTTATATTTTTTATGTCTTTTAAAAAGCAATATTGAAAAGGAGATTGTTTCACATGCATTCCTCTTTTTGAGTTCTGCTGCTGGAAATGCTCCTTTTGGTATTTAATCTCCAGCTTTTTAAAAATGAAAAAATTTTAAAGCAGGCTGGTGTCATACTGAAGAATTTTAAAGAATTTCAAGGAGATGTATTTTATCCTAGCAGCAATTAAAGATTCCTGAGTAACAGACTCACATGGTCAGATCTGTGCTTTAAGAAGATTTGGCAGCTAAGCAGAGGATGGACTGGGGAAAGACTGAAAAAAGGAAGACTAATTAAGGGGTAAGTGAAATAGTCCAGGAGTGAGGAAATAAGGACTTTTAACTAGGGGTGGTGGCTCTGTGAATGAAGAGGGGACAGATGTAAAAAGAAATGTTGTGGAGGTAGAATCAGATTGAGAGAAAAGGAAGAATAAAGGATGTTTTCAAGGTTATGAAGTATGGTGGTACCTAGACCAGAGGTTCTTAACCTTTTTTTGTGTCATAGACCCCTCTGGTAGTTTGCTAAAGCCTATAGACTTTCTCAGAACAATGTTCTTAAATACAGAATAAAATATATAGGATTACAAATGAAACCAACTATACTGACATGTAGTTATCAAAATATATTTTAAAGGGGGGGGGCAGCTAGGTGGTGCAGTTGATAAGAGTACCGGCCCTGAAGTCAGGAGGACCTGAGTTCAAATCCAGCCTCAGACCAAACACTTGACACTTACTAGCTATGTGACCCTGGGCAAGTCACTTAACCCCAATTGCATAAAATATATATATATATATATGTATAAAGTTCATGGGTCCCAGGTTAAGAACCTCAGCCCTAGACACAGAGAAGTTAGCTATAAGGAATGGGTTTAGGAAGATAGTGAATTGTTATAGACATATTAAGTTTGAGATGCTTATCCAAGTAGATAAATAAAGAAGGAAGTGGACAATAAAAGACTTTGTTGTTCAATCATTCAGACATGTCTGACTCTTTGTAACCCCATGATCGTACCACACCAATATGGTCCCTGGGGTTTTCTCAGCAAAGATATTAGAATGGTTTACCATTTCCTTCTCTAGTGGATTAAGGTAGACAGAGGTTAAGTGACTTACCCAGCCAGGGTCACACAGCTAGTAAGTTTCTGATGGCAGACTTGAATTCAAGTCTTCTTGACTCCAAGCCCAGTACTCTATCCACTAGCCAGCTAGCTGCCTGATAAAAGACTAGAGCTCAGGAAAAGATATGAGGCCTCTATATATAGAGTTGAGAGTCATCTGAAGAGAGATGATCACTGAACCCATGGAAGCTAATGAAATCACTTAACAAAAGTAAAGATGGAATATAAGAAAGCCTTTAAGAAGACCCACAACTGGGGAACAGGATATAGCTAATAATCTGAAAAACACTAAGCAGCAGTTAGGTAGGAGAACCAGGAAAGAAATGCCACAAAAGCTGAGGGAGAAGAGTATCTAGGAGTAGAGAGTAGTAAATATTGTCAAAAGCAGCAGAGGTCAGGAAGGAAGAGTACTGATAAAAATGTCATCGGATTTCATAATTAAGGGGTCAATGGACAGAATTGTTTCAGTCCAATAACAAAATAAGAAGACTGACAACAAGGCCTGAGAAATGGGTGAGGTGAAGAAGTAGAAGCAATGAGTGTAAACTTCTAAAAGTTTGGCTATGAGAGGGAAAAGCTCTAAATGGGCTTGAGGGGGAAGGTACTATCAAATGAAGGTTTTTAAAGGATGGGAAAAACCTAGGGATGTTTATAGGCAACAATGGAATCATTAGATAAGGAGTAAACTGAACAGAGAGCTGGGAAGAATAATGACGGGGCAAAATCCTAGAGGAGATGGGAGGGAAGGTGGTAAAGGGTATAAATGCTGGCCTTGACATGAAAAGGACCACCAAAGGATAAGAGAATGGGAGATCATGTATAGAAGAGAAGATAGGAAAAATAGAAATGTGGATGTGGCTGGCTATATTTTGGGTCATGTTGACAAAAGAAGTGAATCACAAACTTGGCAAGGAGGCATAAAAAAAAAGTGAAGGATTTCAATTAACTGGACATCTGCTGGAGCTTCTCTCTGCTCCCTCCTCTCTGGCCATCTCTTACACAGCCTTTCTGCTTCCAGTGTATTCTTTGCCACCCAATCCTTTCCTCCTACACCCCCCCAGTCAGCACTCCTTCAGAAAAGATGATTTGGAAAAATAATTGCAACCAAGATGTGGATAGGGTGATATAGGAGCAAGGAATATGCCTACTTCTTAGCCTAGTGTGTTTAGGGAAGGAGGGAAAATCAGGGCAGTTACAGGAAAAAAAACTGCCTTCAGACCAGCAAAAGATGGTTTTTTCTGTAAAGTGAGGTTTCACTGAGTTCAAAAATATAGAAGGAATGTGAGAAAGAGGTCTAATAAGAGGGGAATTTTGCTAATGATAGAATGAAGAGTACAAAGGCCACAAGGAAAGGGGAGCCCAGAGCAATTAACAACTGTGAAAGGGTTGAGTTGATAGGAATGGAAATGAGGGATAGGTAGCAGATGAAAGGAGTTTTTTACCTATTCTCACCTAGGAAACACAAATAGCTCCAAATCAGGCTTGTAATGGAAGACCTTAGGAAAAATACCACCTCCTCATTTTAAAAATGAGGAAAACTGAGGCAAAAAGAGATGATCTATCTAAAGTCCTTCTACTGATTAGAGGACTAGAACCCAGGTTTGTCTGACTCCTGATTTTTAGTCTTTCCACTACTATACTACATTCTATTCTCATTCATCACTATGAGGGATTCTGATAACCCAATACACAAAGATCTGTCATAGTAAATATTCTAATGTCTAACTACAGCTAAGAGTTCCCCCCTTTTAATAATAACCAGCACTTATGTAGTAACACTTTAAGCTTTACAAACACCATTTCTTTTTTTAAATTTAATTTTTTCTTATATTTTAAATTCCAAGCTATCTCCCTCCCTACCTCTCCATCCCACACTACAGAAAGCCATTATTTGACAAAAATATAGACATAGATAGTTAAGATATGTAAAACAATACTATGAACATTTCTATTTATCAGTTCTTTCTCTGGAGGTGGATAGCATCTTCCTTCATAGGTCCTTTGTAGTTGATTTGATATGAATATTTAAAATACTCAGAAAAGCTTAGTCCAGTTAGTTTTCAAACAGTGATGCTGTTACTGTACCTAACACTGTCTTGCTTCCATTCATTTCACTCTTCATTATTTCATACAACTCTTTCCATCTTTTTCTAAAATCAACCAGCTCATCATTTCTTTTTTTTTCTTTTGGTTTTTTTTTTTTAGGCTATTGGGGTTAAGTGACTTGCCCAGGGTCACACAGCTAGTATGTGTCAAGTGTTTGATCTGAGGCCACATTTGAACTCAGGAACTCCTGACTTCAGGGCCGGTACTCTATCCACTACACCACCTAGCCGCCCCTCAGCTCATCATTTCTTACTGCACGGTAGTATCTCATCACAATCACATAATACAACTTAAGTAGCCACTCCTCAACTGATGGGCTTCCCTTCAATTTCTAGTTGTCACCACAAAGAGAGCTACTGTAATTATTTTAAAACATATAGGTTCTTCCTTTTTCCATAATCATCTTGGGAAATAGACCTAATAGTGGTAATGCTGGGTCAAGGGGTATACATAGTTTATAACTCTTTGGGCATAATTCCAGATTACTCTCTAAAATGGTTGGGATCAGCTCACCAACAACAGTGTATTAGTATCCCAATTTTTCTACATCCCCTCCAACATCTGTCACTTTCCCCTTCTACCATTTTAGTCAATCTGATATGTGTGAGATAATACCCCAAAGTTGGTTTTAATTCGTATTTCTCTAATCAATAATGATTTAGAACATTTTTCATATTACACATAGCTTTGGTTTCTTTATCCAAAAACTGCCTGTTCATATTCTTTGACCATTTATCAACTGAGGATTAACTCATATTCTTATAAATTTGACAAAGTTCTCTATACATATGAGATACAAGAACTTTATCCAAGAAATTGTCTATATAAATCATTTCCCAATTTTCTGCTTGCCTTCTAATCTTGGCTACATTGGTCTTATTTGTATAAAAACTTTAATTTAATGTAACCAAAATTAGCCATTTTATATTTCACAATGCTCTCTATCTTATTTATAAATTCTTCTATTCATAAGTCTGATAGATAAAATATTCCATGTTCTTCTAATTTACTTATATCTCCTTTTATGTCTAGGTCATGTATTCATTTTGACTGTATCTTAGCAAACAGTGTAAGATATTGGTCTATACCTACTTTCTTTTTGTTCCATTTTCCCAACAATTTTTACCAAATACCAGATTCTTATCGCAAGAGCTTAAATCTTTACATTTGTCAAACACAAGGTTACTACGGTGTATTGTTAAGTCTACTGTGTTCCACTGATCCACCTTTCTATTTCTTAGCCAGTAATAGATACTTCTGATAATTACTACCTTATAGTACAATTTAAAATCTGGTACTGCTAGACTGCCTTCCTTTATGTTTTTTTTCCATTAATTCCTTAGATATTCTTAACTAAATGAATTGTTATTGACAAATATTATCTCTTTTTATCCTGACAACAACCCTGGGAGGTAGGTGCCATTAATGTCCCCATTTTACGGATGAAGAAAATGAAGCAGGCAGCAGTTAAGTGATTTCCCCAGGGTTAAACAGCTAGAAAGCATTTGATGCAGGATTTGAATTCAAGTCGTCCTTTTATAAGGACGGTTTGTTTTCTATGGTAGAGAGAACTCCCTTAGGAGGAAACTCCCTTTATTAATGCAAATCTGTCATGTTTTGCAATTTAAGCTATAGAGTTGATAGAAGCCCTGAGGTAGTAGGTGACCAGTCCAGCTTCACATAGCCGGTTATATGTCAACGAACTAGAACAAGTACGTCTTCCAGACTAGTGTCCGGCTCTTTGATCTGCCAACATGCCTTTCAAATTATAACAGTTAACAGAAAATTGTTATGAATTATACAAGTGAAAGAAATTAACAAGTTAGCCTAACTTAGTCTCCATCCTTTTGCTCACTTCATTTTCCTCACTTGTAATCCTCTGCAAGCTCACCTCCATAAAGACCCAGCTCATATTCTATCTCCTCCACAAAAATTTTCTTTACAACCATCCCTTCCTTCTTCATCTTTCTATCCGTAAGACTCATTTGGTCATTACTATGCAATGCTTTGTACTGAATTTTTTTTTCTTGAATATATAGCTAATCTGTCAAAGTAAGGCATGAGATCATGGTCTTAAACTAAGTCCACGTAACACCTTATACAAGTAGACAATACATTCTCTTTATGGAAGCAATTCTATTCTAAATTATTATTGGTGATAGAAAAGAAATATAGTTCCCATTCATAGGAACTTCCTTAATTGTATTTTGATGTAAAAATGAAGAACACAGCTAGGTCCTGTACCATTTGTGATATCCAGCTGAGTCTCTTTTATGCTAACTAAAGAGTAAACAAAGGGAGCTAGTGCCCTTTCCAAATACACTTTTAAATACACCAATCAGAAGTAAACTTGCTAAGGATGCACACAAACACTGACACAATTCTTCTGGTGCTTCCCTCCACCAGGGAAAGAGCCAAGTGTGACCAGACTGCCTCAATGGAACTGAGCTTAATTCCCATTTCACTATTACATCACAGCAATATGGAAGGTTCTCTAGGAATACATTCCAAATTCATACAATAGGAAAATAGCTCTAAAACACTTCTTTTAAAACACAAAAGGCATTTAAATGTAGTGGCAAGGTCCCCTTCCCAATTCTTCTGGCACTTTCTAACAATTAAGAGCAGTTCACAAGCAAAAAGTGATGCTTCACTACTGAAGTAGTGAGTTCTGCTCGGAAAAAGTTCAAGTCTATTCAATTCAACAAGCATTTACTAAATGCCTACTATGATCAAGGTACCAGGGACACAAAAACGAAAAAAGTCCCAGTCCTGAAGGAGTTCCCATTTGACAAGGGTGACAGAGCAAAAAGGCTAGATCTGCAAGAGATACTGAAGTGGATGTTTGTAGGTGGGAGAGGACTAGGTGACCAAGTTTCCCTAGAACTCTAAGAATCTAATTTATGTCAACAAAGGACAAAAAGCCTAGGCCAGGACAAAGCTTACAAGATTAAAGGAGAGTTTAGAGGTGAGACAGCCACATCCAAAGCAACAGAAGGGAACAACAAAGAAAAACCAAATGCCTAGCTAACCAATTTTATTATTAAACACATTACATGGCTTTCTCCACACTGAGGAGTTTCCCTACCCGAGGTGTCCTGAAAGGTGCCAGGTGGGGGATGGAGGTGTCTATCGTGAGAAGCCTTCTCCTCTAGCGGTGCTTGCCCTTTCTATTGAACTGTTTGTAGAGGTATTTGATCCGCTTGTTCAGGTTGTGTAAGTCCTGCACAAACATGCGATCTCCCACCATTTTCTTCTTACGGATACATCGCTGCAATTCATTCCCTTTCCAGCCCCTGAGCCATATGGGCCCTTTAATCAGATCCTTGGGGTGATGTTCAAAGTTTCCTGGGGGGCAGATGGAGAAACCATTATTAGCTCCAGGCACGGAAGACCAAGGCCAAGGTGCAGGCAGCTGTTAACAACACCCTTGGGATTACAAAAACCTCTTCAGTTCGTCTCCAGCCTTACTTCTCTTACTGCTCAGAGCTGCTTCCCTGAGCTCCGTGAACATCACTCCACTCTCACGTGTCAGAAATCATCCCACTAAAGGCAAACGACCTCTTAATGCACGTCTTCCCCCACTCCCCTGGAAATTAAGAGAAGCACGGCAAAGTAGGGGATGAAGTCCAACTCTCCCTCAGCTCCCCCACTCCCACCCCCAGCCCGGCTTTTAGTCGTACCCAGGATACCGATGTTGTCATACACCCCAAACATGCTTCTCTTCTCATTCCATCGATCCACTACTTTCGGGGGCGGGAGGGTTGTCCTCACGGGGGCCGTTTCCGGCACACCTGGAGGAGGAAAGGAAAGAGCAATGAGCAGGCGCCCTACGGAACAGTCGTCTTCTCTGCTGTTCCCCCTTTCCCCGGACACTTACCCACGGAGAAGCTCCTGCCGGCTCGGGCTGCGCAGGGCCGTAGTGCCCATCCCGCCCACCGGGTCAGCAACCACGCCATTAGCCAGGCCCCGCAACAAGCTGCTGCCCAGGAGGATTCTGGGAAAGCGAGGGCGCTGTCCCAGACGCCTCTGCGAGAGGCCAACGCTGGCTGCCTCCGTTCACCGCCTTACGTTGTAAAGGGACTAGGGGAAGCTCATTTCTGTAGTTCCCAGGCTCCTCTACGCCTCGGGCATCCCCACCCCCACCCCAACTCCTCCTCCCCAAGCGTCGGCCCCGCCTCTTGGAGGGAGAAACCGCCTCCAGAAACGACCTTCCCTCCGCTGGCCAAGCTGTCAGCTTCAGGGTTTGAATCTGGAGGCCAAAGGCTGGTGTCCCAGCTCGTCGTTCGGGAACTGATCTTGCCTTTCGCAGCCCGGGCTGCAGAAGACTTTCCTGGGCCTTACACCCGAAAAGAGGGAAACCCCGAAGGCACGTGGGCTAGCCCCTGGTTCCCCCTGGGTGTCCCGCGACTGTAAGGGGCAGGTGGGAAGGAAAGTTGGCCTGGGAGGGCCGGAGCATCAGCCAGGAGGAGGTCACTCAGGGCTGCCTTCACAAGCCGCGCACGCAGCCGGATGCATGCTTTATTCGCTAGAACTGAGCCAAGTGGCAGTTCAGCTTTGCCGTCTGCTCCTGTTGCCAGAGGCTGGGGCTTAGCAGCAGGAGCATCTTAAGTAGCGTCCGGGCCCTGGAACTCCAGCAGGGACATGATCAGAAAACCCCCTCCACAACCCTGGGCACGCAGTAAACTGGAACACGCCTTAAGGGCGCCCTAGCCGAAGTACCCATCTCCTAGGACCCACGTGACGTGCCCGCTACTCTTTTCTCATTGGTCGGAACTCCGCGCTTGCCTTGCGTCACAGCCGTTGAGATTTAAAAAGGCTTGTTTTGAAGCCGCGTTCGCGCGTCTCGAAGAGGCAGGTCCTTTTTCCCCTTGACGCGTGGGGATTGGTCGTCGTCCTAGGAGCGCAGCGCTGATTGGCTGGCTGTCTTCCCAGAATTCCTTCGGAGCGCGCTTTTTCCTCCCGGCTCTTAAGTTGTGCGTGAAGGGTGAGTGAATTTAGGGAAGGGGAAGGGAGGACGGTTCTGTGACGGACGGCCACGGGAGGAGTTTGGTGGGGAGGATTCTCGGAAATCCTCGCTGTGGGTTGAAGAAAATGAGAGCCAGAGGGGTGTGGGGGTGCTTGAGGGCTGCTTGCTTTGCTTTTTTCCCTTTGGTGACGGGAAGCTCGCCATCCCTTGGAGCAGCCCGTGAATGTGGCCGAAAACTGTGCAACTGGGCACGTGCAGGCGCGGGTTCTGCCCTCCGCGGTCCATCCCTTCACTGCCTGAGGTGGTCTCAGTGCCTTCTTAAAATGACGATAACTAATGCTTGCGCTGCCCTCCCCATTGGGGGTGAGAGCAAAGTGAAAAGGCAATGCGACGCTTAGCCTCGGGACACTTGGTCTATTAGTCGGGGATTTAATGGGCCCGTTCTGCAGTGTTGGGGCCTTAGCACCCCTGGCTATAAAATTGGAGGTAACGTTACCAGCTCTGTCTGGTTCTCACAGGGTTGTACGATTGGAAATGTCCCGTTTTCAAGGCAACAAGCATTTCTTAAATGCTTGCTGCATGCCAGGAAGTGTACTTAGTGATGGGGTACAAAGAAAGGGGGAGGGGAGGAAATAAACATTCCCTGGCCTCGAGCAGCACACAGTCTAATGGGGGAGACAATATGCACCTAACTCTGTAGAAACAGGTTAAGTTGGCGATCATGTCTCTTAATAGAGAAGTCTGGAAAGACTTCTTGCAGAAGGTGGGATTTTAGCTGGGACTTGAAGGAAGCCAGGAAGCAGAGAGGGGCAGGGAGATCATTGTGAATCGCATCCCTTGTCATGCTCTCAGTTCCCTCCTGTATAAAATGAGGGGGTTGTACTAGGTGATGTCTTACAACCCTATCCAGACGTAAAGCCTAAGACTTATAATGGGGAATGGAGACAACCTTATGGCTACTTACAGTTTACAAGTCACTTTTTATACATTGTTTCTCTAATCTTCCCCAGCCCTTTGAGGTAGGCAGGGCAAGTATTTTGCATTTCGGGAAACTAAAGTGTGTTGTTCTTAGTCATACTATGTCATACATACATAGTCGTACTGTGTCTTACATGCGCATACATACATGGTGCATAGTACTGCTAGTAGTACTACCACCACCACTACTACTGCTGCCAGAATTCAGCCCAGGTGTTTTGAGTTCATTGTTCCTTGCCCAATATCATATTGACATAGGAAATAGGCAGTCCCTAGCAATTACTTCTCTTTGTTTTCTAGCCCAGGGAGTTAGTAGGAAGATGCCCCCTCAGTTGTGTGACTTTCATCTACCACTGTCTCCAGAGGAGCTGCTGAAAAGTGGAGGAGTCAACCAGTATGTGGTACAAGAAGTACTGTCTGTCAAACAGCTTCCTTCACAGCTTAGGGGTAAGAAGATGTCAGCTTTATTTTTCACCTCTTTTCCCCATCCTTCAGTTTTTCTACTCTTAGGGGGACATTCGTTTGTTCTCTAGGTCCCAATGAGTTCAGTGATACTGAGAATTTCCTTTTAGAGTAATTGTCCCCTTCTCCTCAAGGTTATTGAGCAGTTATTTCTCTAATTCTAGATACTTTCAAAGTTTAAAACTTTTCTGCATGACTGCCATCTTTCTAGTTTCCTGTTGATGTCTTGGTTGGACTAGAGCTCTGCTGCCCCTTCTGAATTTTTGTTCAGGTATTATGTATATTTTGTCTCTTTTCATCTTTGTACTAACAGAGTGCCTTAATAAATGTTTGCTGAATGCTCTAAATCACTATTGATTGGAGAAATGCAAATCAAAAAAACTCTGAGGTACTACTTTAAACCTATCAGATTGGCTAACATGATAAAACAAGAAAATGGTAGATGTTGGAGAAGATGTGGGAAAATTGGAGCACTGATGCATTGTTGGTGGAGTTGTGAACTAATCCAACCATTCTAGAGAGCAATTTGGAACTATGCTCAAAGGGCTATAAAAATGTGCATACCCCTAGACCCCGCAATATCACTTCTAGGGCTGTATCCCAAAGAGATCCTAAAAATGGGAAAATGACCCATAGGTACAAAAATATTTATAGCAGCTCTATTTGTGGTGGCCAAGAATTGGAAATGGAGGGAATGCCCATCAGTTGGGGAGTGGCTGAACAAGTTTTGGTGTATGAATGTAATGGAATACTATTGTGCTGTAAGAAATGATGAGCAGGTGGACTTCAGAAAAACCTGGAGAGACATATATGAACTGATGCTGAGTGAAGTGAGCAGAAGCAGGAGAACATTGTACACAATGATAGCCACATTGTGCAATGACTAACTTTCAGAGACTTAGCTTTTCTCAGTAATGGAAGGATCTAAGATCACTCCAAAAGACTCATGTGGAAAAAGCTATTCACATCCCGAGAAAGAACTTCGGAGTCTGAATGCAGATGGAAACATAGTATTTGCTCTCTTTTTTGTTGTTGTTGTCTTGTTTTGTTTCTTCTTTCTTGTGGGTCTTTGCATTGCTTCTAATTCTTATTTACAGCATGATTAATGTGAAATTTTTTTTAATGTTTTTTGAACTGAATTGAAAAGGTGAAAGACTCCATGCCCTGTAGGAATGTAGAGTCTAACAAGGGAATATATTTTTCACCAAAAAAGTATTATACTAGGTAGAATGTGATGGGTGGAAAGGTGAAATCAAGATAAAATACACTAGGAAAATGAAGAGGAAAGGACTGTTTTCTTTAAACATAGATGAGAATTTAATGTGAAACTCTTCAGCTCTGTAATGTTTTTCTGGTTGAGTTTTTTGTGCTATGGTATTTCCAATATGGTCCTGTATTGCTCTGACCTCCTGAAGACTTCCTTCTGTTAAGTTTCCTTTTTTACACACACACCCTCTTTTTAATTGACTGATTAAATCATGTTTTGGTACAATGATTTCTGCAGGCAGAAATGGGAAGGGATTCCATACCAGGCATAGGGGTGATCTGGGCAAATGCATAGAGAAAGGATTAGATCACCTAAGAGCTGCTAGTCTAATCTGGCTGAAATGCAAACTGGGTGAGGAGCAATAATGAACCATGTCTTTCCTTCCTTGAGGGCAGAGGTTGTTGGAATTTTGTATTCTGAGCAGCTGGCATAGTGCCTACCACATAGTAGCGACTTAATAAATGCTTGTTGATTGATTGAATTTCATGGTACTGAGTCTAAGTACAATAGAAGTTCAATTCAGGCTTCATTGGAATATTTGAATTGGAGCTGAGCCTGGAGGAATTGTCTAGAATTTGGATAGGGGAAGGGATATTTTAGATTGGGGTACAGCAAGAACAAAAGCAATGAGGTCAAAATGAACATTCTTTGGGTAAGAGAGTGAGAAAATGGACCTGACTAGAACACAGAGAGAATATTAAAGAACACTGGGAAATAAGGTTGTCAGATGAAGCCGGAGATAATGTAGGTCTTTCAAAAGCTAGGTGAGGGACTTGGTGTTTGAAGCAACAGGTTCTTGATGAGGAAAAGGATGAATGTGGCAGCACCTTATAGGCACGATTGTAGTGGGAGAAAAAGACTAGAGGTAAGGAGTCCAGTTAGGAGACCATTGAGATACTAGAACCTGAACATGCAAAAGGATGATATGTAGAAGGGAAAACCTATAGGATATGGTGATAGAGAGATGAAGAAGAGGGGAATGATTCCTTAGAAAATGATCCCAAGGTTCTTTGCCTAGGATATTAGTAGGCTAGTGGTACTAATGACAGAAATGGGGTAACAGGAAAGGGAAACCAGTTTTGTGAGATATCTAGATGATTAGTTCAGTTTTCAACATGATTAGTTTAAGGTAAATAGATGAGCTGGAAGAACCAGACTGAAGTTCACGTGTGAAGTGAGGGTTAGAGATGTTAATTTGGGAGTTGCTGCTACAAGTAGCAGTTGCCCTTGGACAACATAATATGGATGTCTTACCTGTTTAGGGCTGGCAGTCAGTGGCGTAGCAGTACAGACTCAGAGGAATGATCTAACCTGACTCCCTAGCAGCTGACTTAGGGCTCCTTGAATTGGGGAGAATAGTACCTACCTCTTTTTTTTTTCTTTTTTT